AGTTCCAGACTAGAAAGAAAACTATATTATTTGTAAGTTTGTGAAAATGTTGTTTATAAATCATTGTTTGTAGTAACTATTTGTAATAATTGTTATTGTAAATTGTACTGTTGTGTGTATATTAAAACGTGTTTGTGTTAAAAACGAAAACGGTGTGTGTCAATCTTGTTGGCAAATATCATAAACTGAGTATATATCGGCATATATTTAAATACTAAATCCAAAATAAAATTTAACTACTAAATTTAAAGTATCATTTAACTCAATTTCAGGCCATCAGCCTCCCGAAGCCCAACAGACTGAAGCCTCTACCGACGTACGAAATGTCGCCCTATGAAAGTCTCCATTTCTTCCCCTGATCCATCCCAGCACAGGTGAACCCGACGTCGACAACCACCAGGATCTACCTGCCCTAACATCGACATTTTATCAGTGTAGCCTTTTTTAACCCTCATTAGATGTTATTAGAATTATCAAGTGTATCTTACCATGAATACTAACCTTTGTTTTTCTTCCACAGCTTCTTCCGGACGCGGTCAGGGCAATTTTATTAGGCGCCCTGGCCGTGAAAGTGGGTTTTCTAGCGGTACTCCCGTTTTTCCCCGCAGCAAAATATTCTAACTAGGATTGGATCTATAGATCCCAGCCCTCAAAAAGACCGCATCTTAGTATGCTTAAACCAAAAAAAAAAAAGTGTCTGATTTTGTTAAACAATAATTTATGATGTCTAAATAAATTTATTTAACTTATTTAAACAACAAATTAAGATGATTAAATCAGTCAGGAAGAATTTTTTTTAGCGTTTATACTTGTAAAAGGTTAATCTTGGAACAGCCTTGGTCATTCGTCAACATATATCCTCGTTCCTGTATTCTACAATCTCAAGAACTAGTAGTTATCAACGAGAAGCTCTAAAGTTCTAAACTATCCTTCCTTCGTCATATTTCCAGATCTCCACGAACACAGCTTCTCCTGATGTCTTGAGACGATCCGCCAAGTTAGTCCAAAATACTTAATATTCACGTGCCATATAATCTTAATTTATTACGAGAAACAGAAGTTTCTGACTGCCCCTGGTTATCTTTAAGAAAGATATTTTAACCTAAATAACCACCACGGATCGGACGATGTCACCTCGTAATCTAATAACTAAAGACCCTGCCTTAAGCTTAAATAAGTAAGAGGTATAAATTATTAATGCCAGTTGTTACTCGATATTATTATTGATCTTGAAGTTGTTTAAAATCGCAATATTATGTTTTATTTTTTGAATTCTTTCCCCCTCTTTTTTATGATTACTATATTATTGAAATAATTATATTAACCCTTATATTTGAATGCAAGGGCCATCGAGGTAGTTGTTGATATCTGTATTCTCTGAAGATGAGGTGGCTGGTTTCTTGAAGGCAGCAACGAAACCAAAGAGTTTACTTTTATACCGAGGAGGGGATTTACAGTTCTCTTTTGGTCCCATGGTTGTAGGATTATTTGTTGAGGAAACTTTCTTGATTTCTTGCTGTAGGAACATTCAGTTGAATTCATAGACCATAGAACTAGTGAAACAACAGTCAAGTTTAAATATGGGATTCAGCAAATGTGCAGCAGCCAATCAGAAGACATTTAGTTGCTCATACTGAGTCAGCCGGGTGGGAATAAGTTTCTTCATTGCAAAGACAAGATTGAAATTATATTTGGACTGCATGCTGTCACTCTTAGTCATCAGCTCATAAACCTCACTTGAGGTAACAATGTTCTGACCCTGAGTGAAATGTATTGCCTCTTCAAAAGATGTCAATATTGTCACCAAATTTGCAAGCACAGATCAATCATCAGAAGTAAGTTTCAATATCTAAATTATCCAACTTATCCTGGGGAATCTTCAATAAATATTTAATCATCTTAAAATTTTTGAGCTCCATCGTGTTGATGTTACCGACTGAACTCTGACCTCTCCCTCAAGTAGATCAGTTGCTTGCATTGATTTTCGAATGCAGGACACAATGGTTAATGCTTTGGAAATTACTTTCAACAGTAGTCAATATTCTTTCATGCCATCCCTGATCACAAGCTGTAGCGTGTGGGAAAAGCAGGGGTCATGTTCAGGAAGAAATTCGAATAAATTGTCTGCTGATTTGGATTCATCCAAAATTTCATCTTTTGAGTCACTAAGTGTAGATTAGTTATCACCATCTCTCACTCACACACTAGGTAGTGTTTGTGGTTTAAACCTAGGCAAACAGAAAGCCTTGATCATGTTGGTGCATTACCAGATATCACATATGACACCTTGTTGTTGATGCTAAAAAAATGTATTATTTCATCATATTGAGCTGCAATGTTATCAGATTTGTGACGCCCTTTGATACGCCGAAATACCAGCATGAATGTTTGCATTTTCCAGTCAAGTGTAAAATGACCAGTGACTCCAAAAAAGTTGTGCATTTTTCTCCTACTCCGAATATCTACAGTGACATTAATGTTGGGTACAAGTTGCAGTATAGAGATGAATTTTTGTTGGATTTCATCAAACTGATCTCAATCAACATTGTGAACAGTTGCTTGCGTCTGGGAAGAATATACCGAGAATTCTTGGCTGCCATTAGATCTTGAAAATCTTTTGACTCCACCACTGAGAAGAGTTGCAGAGTACCGGCAATAAAATTGATGAGTTTGTTAGTGATGTGCTTCTCACGAAGGTGTGTAGATATATATTTAGTCAGTACGGTACACCACTATTGTAGGCTGCTGCACCTGAGCAGAAGTATCAGATCCGGATGTATACTTCTGTAGCACTGCCTCATGATTACTCTAGAAATACAATATAATAAAGAATATAGTTTATAATAAAAATAAAGAAAGATATAATAATAACTAAAAATGATGAATATAGTTCTAAACATGTGGAATTTAGTTTAACTATAGAATACAGTTTATAATAATAAAAAATATATCGTAATAAATAAATATCTCACTTATATAATATAAAATATAGTTAATAATAAAAACATATAATACTAAATAAATGAAAAAAGTAAAATATATAGTTTAAAATGCAAGATAAATTTAGTTTACTTGTATAATTTACATACAGTATAGTTTACATTAACAAAAATAATAAAATGACTTACCTCCAGAGGTGTGAATAGGTTAAAAATGTTTTTCCTGGAGTAGAAATAGTCCCCTCACAATTTTTACACTTTGTCTTGATGTGACCAGATCTAGCAGTAGGAAATATAAAGTGTTCTTCCTAAGGTTATCTTAGGACATGAAAAGTTGCTTCC